GAAAATTGCGTGGCTTCCGAAATACAGGGTGTTTAAATTTACTTTCTAAAATAGTTTTTTTTAAATGTTTCGAACAATATTTGATGTATAAACAGTGAAAATTGGTATACAAGGGTTCTTTGGTACGACAAAACGAACCATGGGCATAGTTTTACTGTAGCCGCTAGAGGGCGCTCTCTACTGTACCTGAAGTGTATTAAAATGACCGAAAAATTTTTCTTAGTGCAATTTTTTGCTTTTTGGATAAAAAAAATGATTTTCGCACTTTTCAACATAAAAAAGCTCTCGTGAATTTTCGTTATAGTTAGCCGTTTTTGAGATATTTCGATTTTTAAGGTTCGATGCATTTTTAATTATTTATGATAAAATAACGTTAAAAGTCAGTATCTCGATAATTTTAGAAGTAGGCTGTGCCTGCAAATATTTTTGAAATTGAAAGCAGAATAAGGTTAAACGTCAATTAGTTGACAGTTAGTTTTGTTGTCTGTTGAAACCTGAAACGTTTTTTTGCAATTGTGAATGCACGAAATTTAGTTTCTTTTACCTGTTTTTTTTTGTAAGTTTTATAAAAATGCCATTTTTATTCTCCAATCACGAGTTAGCGGATATTCATTTTGTGTATGGCTTTGTAAATGGAAACGCAGCAGAAGCAGCCAGAGAATACGCACGAAGATTTCCAAACAGACGACATCCAACTCGCTCAGTATTTGTAAGAGTGCATCGCCAAATAATTGAAAATGGTTTTGGAAATCTCCAAGGGATCAAAACATTTGTCGTCAGCACAGATTTACCCGTATGATTCTGCGTGAGTTTGATAGATCCGACCACAAGTGTTAGGAGAGTTTCCGGTGCATTGGGAATTTCAGCAAGCCATGTTCACCGTGTTCTTAGAAATGACCATAGACGTCCTTACCGTTTGCAACCTGTGCAAGGACTACAGCCAGGGGACGGAGAACAAAGAATCACATTTTGTCAGTGGATTCTTGATAGAACTGATAATAATAGGGAGTTTTTAAGTAACGTTTTATGGACCGATGAGTCATGCTTCACTAGACGTGAGTGGTAAATTTTCATAATCAACATATTTGGTCGCATGAAAATCCGCATGCAGTTCGGGAAAGAAATTTTCAGCATGAATTTAGTGTGAACGTGTGGATTGGTATCTACCGTAATCGACTATTTGGACCCTACCTTTTGCCTGCAAGGTTAAATGCTGCGACCTTCTTGGAATTTTTAAAGGCTGAACATGCAAATATGTGGTTGATGTTATGTTAGATAAGAAGATTGGCCTGGTTCCAGCTTGATGGTTGTCCAGCTCATTATTCGCGAATAGTTCGAAACTGGCTGGACGAAAATTATCCAGAAAGATGGATCGGCCGTGGAGGACCAGTCGCCTGGCTTCCACAATCCCCTGACCTAAATCCATTAGATTTCTTTGTGTGGGGATTCTAAAAGAAAAAGTGTACCAGACTCCCGTAACCACAAGAGATATGCTAATAGACAGAATCAGGAATGCATGTGATGAAATAAGGCCTTATTTGAATAATGCTATACCACGTTCGATCATTCGTAGATGATGAATGTGTATTGAACAATTGGGTTTACATTTCGAGCAACTACTTTAGATTTTGTATGTTTGTCCTAACTATCCAATAGCATTTTAGTTGTAAATAATTAATTTAATTTGTTATAAATGATATTGGAAAATTAAATAAATTAATATTGTTTTTTGTGTTTATTTGGAGTTAGGAATTATTGCTGTGTTTAAAAACACAATCTAAACGATCATCTTAATTACTTGTAATGCCCAAATCGAAAATGTAAAAAAATATTATTTTTCCATAAATAATTAAAAATGCTTCGAACCTTAAAAATCGAAATATCTCAAAAACGGCTAACTATAACGAAAACTCACAAGAGAGCTTTTTTATGTTGAAAAGTGCGAAGAATCAGTTCTTTATCCAAAAAGCAAAAAATTGCACTAAGAAAAATTTTCGGTCATTTTAATACACTACAGGTACAGTAGCGGGCTACAGTAAAACTATGCCCATGGTTCGTTTTTTCGTACCAAAAAACCCTTGTATACCAATTTTCAACGTTATACATCAAATATTGTTCGAAATATTTGAAAAAAAACTATTTTAGAAAGTAAATTTAAACACCCTGTATTTCGGAAGCCACGCATTTTTCGACCCATGTTTATATAGACTTTATGCATTAATTTTAAAAGTTCTATCGAATCTCAAAGTTATGCACAATAAACTAAAACACCCTGTATACATATTTTTTTGACGTTTATAATTATTTATTATTAATATTAATTTGGTTAAGAACTCCTCTGTTGTAATTTGTTTGTTGGGCTAGTACTTTGATCAGCTTGTCTGTTTACTAGTCCCTTTTGCAGGGAATTCATATTGTTTCTCTTTGTATTTTTTTGCTCTGCAAATAAACGCTATTATTATTATTATGAAAAAGGATTTATTTTTAAACCATAGCTAGTCATGATCACTAGCAAGTGTACCGATTATATACCAAAATCTTTCAACTGATTTATGCAAAACTGATATAAAAGCACTGGCAACGCAAGGAAGTAGGAAGCAGTATGAGCTATGTCCGTCATTTGTCAATACGGGATATTTTGACTGTCACTAAGTGATCAGCTGTTATTTATTATCACGTTTTGGTGACCTGCAGTATTATATAAAACGAATTAATCTTCTTACCTATCCACAAGGTGTGTAAGTTTTGGTATAATGACTTTTTCCACGATTGTAGGCAACAACGTTATATCTGGATCTTTTGCAAGGCTTTCTTCCGTTTCATCATCATGAAGTCCATATAAAGCCAGTGTTCTGTACCAGTCCAACTTTTCTAGGTCCATCTAACGATAACACATGTTTCAGATTTCAAAATAGAAAAATTAAGGACAAAATTTACCGTTTCATTGAGTGGATCCCAAAACACCAAATTCATTCTAACCAAAGGGCTGATAACTTTAGGCAAACACAACGTGGCGTACGCTTCAGTGTAAGCTGTTAGATCATTCGTCCTCCATTCCTCAAATCTAATAAGTATGTTGGTCGCTGATGAATATTCTTCTACTACATCATCAAATACTTCCTTTAGCTCAGCTTCAATTTGTTCGCGATCTTTATGAAAGTTCATCGCATCTTGTTGAGAAATTTCGTCGTCACTGGACATCCCTACAAAATTATTTTGTAATAAATGAACATGGATTCCAAATATTTAAATTAGTATGAACAGCAGCACTGCGGCTTGGATTCAAAATATTTAAAAACTCTTATTGTTTACGATGGATATTGTACAAAACGCTCAACTTTGGTTGCTTGCCAGATCGCTAATTTGAACGATAGTGATTATATATTCTAATGAGCTTCAAAATGAGGTTGCACACAATCCTTCATTCCATTTAAAAATGTTTCAAAATGGAATCTAATCACCACCTTGGAATTTTCAATTGCACGCTAAAACATACATGCATCAATTTTTACCACGAATTTCAACTTCATATTTTGACCTTTTTGGAAAGCACTATTAATTTTTGATTTTATTCAATTCGTTGGAATGTTTGTCTACCTTCCACATGTTTTGGCTGTCCTGAACCTTCCCTGGCTCTCCTTCTTCGAGTTCTTCGGCCTTCTCTTTCAGCTGCTCTCCTTTGTTTTTCTTCATCTTCAGGACCTTTCCTCAGTAGACCTCCCTTATTTGCAGCCTCTTCAGTCTGATCCCTATAAATAACAAAAAACAAAAAATCAAATTTATTAACTTTGACAGTGCCGCCTAAAATTTACATATCTGTCGTGGTTTCGTGTACCGTATCTAAGATTTGACTACCCTGAAATTTTTGGGGACTGATACATAATCATAATATACAAGCAGTCTCCTCTTGAAAATATCTAATCGGACTCCCCTAAGAAAAAATACCCGGCCGCGCATGTCTGTTACGATAGATGTATCTTCTTTTTTCGTTCTTATAAATAACAAACATACGGGAAAATCTATGTCTGAAATATGTATGATAGCTGGGTAAAATTGTTTGAGTGGTTACAAGAGCATAAATGCCAAAAAATATAGGAGTCAAAAACCGAAGTTTGAGCGATTTTTGTTGTCTTTTTTTACCCATAGCTCTGCCGCCAGTGGAGAGGTTTTCAAAAACTACAAGACCATTTCCTCCTTGCCATGAAAGTAAGCTTGTAACAATTTTTTATCAAAGGTACCTTCCAAGTTATAGAGAGTCCAAGGATCAGCGGACAGACAGACATACGGACAGAAATGAGTGGCTTTATGACGTATGTATACGTTATGTATCGGGTTTTCTAATAGGGACTTCTCAGCGATTACCGAACTGTCACTGTCAAAACACTCAGTAAAGAAAACATTTTCATCATGGTGAAGTACACGAACAAACACCGCTTACAAATACAAAAAATGTACTACTAAATTCGAGTAGACAAGCAATTCATAGTCTAGTAAAAAAAAATTGAGACCATGTATTCGCTGCCCGTGCCAGTGAGACAACGGGTTACCGAAATATTGCTGCCGTTCAAGCTTCCGTCACAGTCGAACAGAACACGTCGATTCCACAGCGTTCTCAAGAATTGGGTATAGCTCAGACCACACTATGGTGAATTTTGCGAAGAAATCCTGTCCTGCACCTTTATAAGATCAAGTTAACTCAAGAACTAAAGCCGTTCGATCATATGAACCGACGTACGTTCTCGAATTGGGCTCTAGAAATGTTGCAAGAAAATGACCAATTTCATCGCAAAATCATCTTCAGTGATAAGGCGCATTTTGGCTTCGTCAACCAACAGAATAAGAGTTATTGGTCAGGTGAAAACTTCATGTGCTTTAAGAAACACCACTTCATCCACAACAAAATAACTGGTTTTCATGCCGTGGAGTCATAGGACAGTTTTTTTTTCGTTGATGAAAATGACCGTCACGTTACAGTCAACGGAGATAGCTACAGAGACATGTTCAACGTTATTTTTTGGTCAATTGGATGGGCTAGATATTAATGATATGTGGTTTCAACAGGACGGTGCCACAAGCCACACAGCGGGTGAAATAATCGACATATTGAAATCAAAATTCGGTGAACGTGTTACATCGAGAGATGGTCCTGTCGAAAGGCCGCTTAGATCGTGTGATTTAACACCTCAAGACTTTTTTTTGTGAGGCTACATTAAATCATTGGCAACAAGCCGTTTCTGTCGAAATATGTGGCCGAGTCATTAAAAACTGGGTTCAACGAATCGATTTGCCCGTGGTCGACATATGAACGAGATCGAATTCCATATATAAATGTTTGAGTATACTTGAATCCAATAATAAAACTTTCGAGACATCTCAAATGGTTTGCCTTTTATTTAAAACGAAAGTTGTCCAGTGCCCAATGGAAAACCCTTAATCCAAAAAAACATTTTATTATTACAATACTTCCTCGCCAATTGGTGAACTCGCCTAATGGTAAAGACTTTTTGTTATTCGCTGGAGAAAAAGTATGGCGTACGATAGAGAGTTTAAAAAACGATTCCTCTCGGAACCATAATATTTTTGTAGAAAGAGTAGATCGCCTGTGATGTTAAATTTGTCTGGTTGTTTGTATGCGACTATTCTCGACAAGATTATCGTTTACCCAAATTGCGTTTAATGATTGTCTGATGGTTATCAGTTATTACCCCTTATTTTATGTGCGTTGTCAACGTTACATCGGTTTGATTATTATTATTCCTCTAACGTATACACTGCGATGATTACAACAGGGCAAAAATGTATAAGTAACAGATAATCATAAAGTTATATTATATTAGTTTTTACATTAGGTACTCGCGAGTAGAACAACCGCCTATAATATTCTGTGAGTTTTACTCGAGAGCAAAGGCTACCTTACGCCTGAAGATGGAATAGAAAGCGCTAGTGTAGACATCCGTTGAAAAGGTAGAAAGGAAAATGCAAATCCATCAAATTAAAAAGCTTAGGTTAAATACAGAAACATTTGTTAATGATGGTTACCTCACCTCACGTCTTGCCGTCTTCTTTCTATAAGCCATTCGGACTTCCGTGCCATCAGGTCCAAGGCTCTCTGTTCAAGGCTTGCAATAATACCCACTTTTTCATCAAAACATTCCACAAGATCAGTAATATATCCTGTAAATTGACATTAGTAACACCATATACAAATACATATTAGTACACAGACGATTGTTGTAGACAAAATAAATACATTGCTGAATGGCACGGGAAAATGATATTAAACCGTCAATTCAAATCCAATCTTGACGTTGAATTCAAAGCACACATTTCTTCCAAGCCCATTGATCTGTTAGAGGTGTTTGAGAAGATACATTTTTCATTATGCTCAAGGGCGGATTCAGCGACTAAGCTCACTATATTAATAATAAATAATATTTTTGATGTATATAGGATGTCCTCAGAGTTGGGACTTTCCTTTTACGAAACAACCAAGTTAGAAATAATCAAGCTGAGTGCAGTAAAACAGCAGCGGAAACGTAAAAAAGATATTTCATATATCTTCTGCCGCAAATTGCTCATAAATACTGTTTGAAGTTGCTGTTCCATTTAAAAACACAAGTTTGTTAATTTATTCCTAAATTTGCAAGATTCGGGGCTGTCTAAGTCTTGTCTGTGTCCACCTCGACGGCCACTGCGACAAGACGAAGAACTGGAGATGGCAATTATGCAGGAACTTTCTAAACGTGATTTCAATGGATGAACGTGTGCAAGCGTCTCCTCGAAGTCGTTCCTGAGGATGCTATTGTTTTTTTTTTAACGATGAAGCCCATTTTCATTTGGGTATCTGTCAACAACAAAACATGCGCTACTGGGATGACATCAATCCTCGAGAATGGCATCTAAGGCCTTTGCATTCACCTAAAGTCAAGTTCTTTGAGGAAAATGAAGTTGCAGTGACAGTGAATTCGGACCGTTATGTAAGCATGTTAAAGGAATTTTTGCCATGGTTAGATGAGTTGGATTTAGAAGGCATTTGGTTCCAACAAGACCGTGCAGCGGCAAACATTTCAAAAACATAAATGGCTGTTTTGGAGAATTCCCAGAGCGCCCCATCTCAATTAGGGCGATTTGAGCTATCCCGATTTGGCCCCTAGTGATTTTTTTCTATTTTTTAAAATCCCGTGTTTATGTGAACCGTCCAATGACCCTACAAGATTTGAAGGTCAACATCCAGGAAGAAATTATCAACAAACCACCTGCTATGATGGCAAGAGTCATGACAAACGCCAGAAATCACCTGACTGATTTGATCTTCAAAACTATGTGAAACAAAGCTTTAGGCGCCTACATCATAAATAAACAAATAAAAATATTCTGATTCATACAATGGATTTCATTAAGTTTTAAAAAAAGAAAGTTATGCTGCCACACTTGATATATGTACAATTGAATCATAGGTTCAAACTTTGGATACCTTTTTCTCGATTTCATGCCAAGTGCAGATACCCTATCTGCGCTGATCATGGTAGCACACTCTGTAAAGGAAAGTCCCAACTTTTAGGGCACGCTGTATGTAGAGTATATCGATATTTTTTGGCTGTTGACTGCTTTGCCGTGTCAAACTGCTTTAACACAGCTACCTCACCTCTGAGCTCCTGATAAAACCGGAACCTCCCAGCAGCCTCCGGCGCTTTTACCTTCGTATCTTCTAGCTCTATCTTCAGCCGCTCTACCTCCACCGCCACTTCATCCAACCTTCTTTGATGCTCATCTCTACGCTGCATGGCCGCCTCCAGGTGTTCACGCAGGGAGGCGGCGATTGCCTGAGGGGTGCGTGCCACTACTGGTGCACCAGTAGCAGCTGATAGAACAGGAGCACTGATACGGGGGGCAGGCGGGCATTCTGGGGGGTAGAGGAGTTCACGGGCCGCTTCCATTGCCGCACCTGCATTAACAAAATTGTAATGCCTAAAAGACAGGTAAGGCAGTTGATTGATCACGTTTTCTACATGGTTGACGAATTTTTGAATTGCACATTTATAAAAGATAATTTCTTTATTGCGTTAATTTTCGACATTCAGGCTCGATTTTACTAGCAGGAGATCAAAATTCTTGGTCTGGATGTGGTAGCACTGAACAGTTCTGTGACTGGAGAGCTGAGGTGATGAAAGGCGGTGGTTTCAAATATAATAAAAGATTTTCGTGTGTTCTTTCTTTTTCCCCAAAAAACGGGCATACGTTATATACATACTGAAATACTTTTATTAAAAATATAATTGCCAATATTTTGCATATACGTAGTCGTGCCATAAGTTCTGTCCCATGATAATCTCATGATAAAAATGAAACAAGATAAGATATATTTATATGAAAGATATTATTTATTCGACAACATTTTTAGAATTCATAATCAAACAGTTTTATTCAAAATGTCCCCCCTTGGCCTTCACACACTGCTTCAATCTCGCGGGCCACTCATCTATCACTGCACGCACAGCTTCCAAAGGAATAGCTGCCGCTGATCGGATCAAATCCGCTTTCAGGGACTCGATATTACGGTGGGCTTTGGAGCAGGCCAACTGCTCTAGCAGGTCCCACAACTTGTAGTCTAAAGGATTGAGGTCCGGACTCCCTGAGGGCCAATCTTCCGCAGCAATGAACTCTGGCACATTGCTTTCCAGCCAGCGCTGCGTACTCTTAGCCTTGTGAGCGGGGGCGGAATCCTGCTGGTAGACCCAGTGTTGGTTGGCAAACAATGTACCACTTAAAGGCTTGACGATAGGATCCAGTATGTCGCTCTGATAGTTTGCCGCTTTTGTTTTCACGCCCTGTTTACAGAAATGGAGCTGAGTGACCCCTTCGTAGGACACCCCCCACCAAACCATGACTGACGCAGGGTGGTGGCCTCTCTCAACTCTCGGAATGATCTCCGAAGCTTCCTGTGAACTCCTTGCATACACTTTGTCATTTTGTCGGTTGAATTTTTCTTCTATGGTGAAGATTTTCTCATCCGTGAACAAAATCTTTCGGAATCCCCCAGCTGCGTACCTCTCCAAGAGCTTCTTGGATCTTGTCGCCCTGATGTGTCGCAAGGTGGCCGTAAGTCGCTGGCCCGTACGTCTCCGGTAAGCCCCTAGCCCTAGGTCTTGTTTAATGATGCGCGACATCGTCCGGACAGGAATCTTCATTTCCCTGGATAGGATCTTCTGCTTCCGGAGTGGATTCCTTTGAATCCTGGCTTTTACGGCTTTGATGGCTGCTGGAGTCCTTACTTGACGAGGTCTTCCGCTTCTTGGCCTGTCATCAACAGAGGACGTCTCATTGTACCGCTGAATGGTCCTAGACACAAATTTACGCGATATTTGAAGGCCGTGTAAGAGTTCAAAAATCTGACTAGCACTGTGATTACACTTATGTAAAGCTATCACTGCAATACGGTTCTCTGCCTTGCCCCACTCCATCGTTATGCTTCGAGAGATCAATACAAACTGAGGTATATGTAATTACCCGAAAAGCGCTTAATCAACTGACACCACAATGTAAACAATCGGACAAGTATTAACAGGTCTACACTTGTTTGAAAACGAGGGACAGAACTTATGGCATGACTACGTATATCGCGCACAGAGGATGAGTCTGACAAACCGTGGTTGATATATCTACACATTACAGCATTAGTCGGCAATTTAATCGTCAATCGACACGTTGATGCATTTTAAAAACATATTCTTATTTATAAAATTATCTCTCTCAGGTAAGTAATTTTCAATAAAGTGCTCAGTAATTGACGTGGTGACAAACTAGGCATTACAGAAGATTCGATCTACGATTCAGGCAGGGGTTGAAAGTTCCTCTCACTGGATATGTTTTCGATGCAGATTTACCGAAACGCTTTTTGATTGGTCATTGTTGATGCGGATCATAGGTTTTGATGTCCGGATCTAGAGGAAAAATATCTATTTGTAGCTAAACCAGGTAGTTTATAAAGAATTTTTGATGTAATATGGGTACTAAGAGGTCCTTCTTTCACAAGTCATATATTTTTTCGCTAGTTCGATAGGTGTTTAGAATAAATCGACTATATTTATTTGATCCATCCACTACGAAGATGTCTTCTCATTGGTCTATTATGATCAGGATCAAAATTTTAGATCCCGCGGATCAATAGCAAATAGGGTTACAAATACGATAAACATACAACAGAATAAATGCTAAAATAAAAGAGATACCAAAAAGGGGTAGTTCACCACAGGGTGCTCTTCGACTCACTGTAGAGATAAAATCGCACAATCTAAATCAAAACTTAGAGTGATGGGTTTGATATGAATATGTGTAATAAGTCACATTTTTTCCAGCTATTAAATATATAATCTGAGCTCCCGACCCCAAATTATCTGCCTCTCCCCAAGCAAATAATTCTTACCAGAATCGTCCTAATCTCAAAAAAAAATATTTTTTGAAATTCACTATATTTTAAAAATTACTAACATAAAATGAATTTTTTTGCCATCAATGATTTTTATATTAACAAAATAAATTTAAATCTTAGTTATTAATTTATCCCTTGAAAGATTTAGTTATAATATAATATATTATATAATAGAAATAGAGTTTTTTTGTAATGTCTGTTTCTGCTATATATCTGGTACTAAATTATCCAATATAAAATGAGATATCCTGCTGTCATCTACAAAAACTTGACAGCTATGTTTCTCCCCCTGCAATAATTAGAAATATATTTTGAAAACGTTAGTGTCTTATAGATTATGATGTTTGCTATGGTGCCATCTGTGAAACACTAAACTTCTCAAGGTAGATTTCAACCCATCTGATAAATAGAACAATGTGAATGTACCTGTAACTGCTTTCCTGATTTGCTGATCTTCCCATTCATCTAGCTCTTGTTCTGATTCTTGAGCTGCCAAAAACTGTTCCCTTCTTCTTTCCTGGTCTCTCAAAGCTAAATTAACCTCCATGTCTATTCTCTCATCATCACTTCCCTCATTATCATCTTCTCTAAAATTATAGATTGAAATTTATCACAATCCTGATTCTTCTCTCGATTTAGGAACAAAGAAAAGTGGTTATAGACAGTACATTTCAACATGTTGAATAATATTTGAATTTCATATTAACCAGCAATTTTTTCCTCATAATAATAAGTGATGTTTGTAATAATAAGTGTTAAACAATTTCATAGATTACATATTTTAGTCAATTTTATAATCAGTGTCATCTGTGCATCAGATGAATTAACTAGAAGTTCAGGGTCTTCCATTTGAAATTTTGGAAAAAAGGATGTTATTTATCCATCTGTAGAAAGTTATGAATATTGTCAAAAAAAGTTCAACTGGAAATAAAACGAGGACTAAATTATTTCTTCTAAAATCGATTTTTCACAAATGCATTTATAAAAAAAAATTGAATTTTATGTAAGCATTTTTTTACTCAGTCATCACCTTATTTGACATAAAGGTCCTCAATATCTTGAATCAGTAAGTATGGATTTTGAAGTAAAAAGGCTATCACATGAGATATTTTCAGAAGATAGTATGGCTGGTTTCTAAAAGACAACATAGCCTCTTTCAATATAATATACCTGATGACATGCTGAATTCATAGAATGTGGAAAATGATTTTGTAATAATGAATGGAGATGAGAAACTGAAAGTGCGTGAGGCAGCAGCTGAACAGTGTGACATGCAATAATACCTAAAACTCATGCAAAGTTTTGATTTCTAATGTTTTACCTTAATAATCGTCCCTTATCCTCAGGTTGTTGGTCATCTTCTTCTGTAGGTATAAAATCTCCCAATTCTCTAGCCCTTTGTCTTCTCTTTCTTGCTGCATGAATCATAGCAGCATCAGGAATAGCACCTGACTCGAGCACCTTTTTAAAGTTGTCTGGTTTAGAAAAACGGTGAGCTGGTTCCTCATCCTCATCTGATGATAAATCATCTTGCCTGCACATAAAGCATCTCTCCCACTCAAAATTGTGGGAGGAGTGTTCGGTTTTTTATGATTCTCATTCACCACAAGCACCAAGTCATCAGTGACAATCTCTGTTTGTCTTTAGCTTTTGGTCCTCCTTCTCTTCCTTCTTGGCTTCTTTCTTCTTCTTTTCTTTCTCGAACATACGTAACACTTTTTTACTGTGGGAAGACTTCTTCACTTGGAAAACTTCACCTTCTTCTTCAGCATCGAAGCTGAGCAAAGTTTGTTAGGCTTGGATTTATCTTTGTCTTTCTCTTTTTTCTTAGGTTTCCTTTCAGGTTGCACCGTCTCCTGAAAGTCCATGGATTCGTCATCGTCATCCTCGTTTTCAGTAAATACCCTGCGCTGCACTATGTTTCTTTTCGGCTTTTTGAAAGCGACATTGATGGAAATATTATTTTTCCGAAACAGAAGTGGATCACACATCACAAAAATGCTCTCGGTTTGAGGTTACGCATATGTCAAACACAAATGTCAAAAATTTTGCGGGCATGCGCAGTTGAAAATTCAGCAGTTCTGTGATAGTGATGAGAGCACCTGAAGTTTGTTATTCGGATCGGTAAAGTTCATTACCAAAACTGTTGATAGCAATGGAATGCAGGGAATATTGCCTTTCTTTCTTGAAGAGAGACCGCCACAGCGGCGCGACGATTTCCAGTTCGGAAAGAGTTAGTAGAATTGCCTCAACATTTCAAATTTTTGTGATTCGAAGACGCTCAATCTTCCATCGACAAAGTTAGAATCGCTTCCAATATCAGTGATAATTAAACGACGATCCTACCTGTAGGGCGTTGAAAACCTGTATTTAATCCATCACGATACGCTTAGAAAGTGTGTCCTTCATTCAACCATGTCTCATCCAAATAATAAATCTTCTATCTTCTCATTACGCGAATACTACGTATTGGTTTCAGATATTCTCTACACCAGGCTATGTCAGCCTTTTCGATCAAGGTGCTATTTCCTCTCCTCCTTTAAATATCTGATATTAATTTCTCGTAAAGTTCTTAGCAAAGCACGCTGGGACTATCGTCTGTGTTCAAGCGTGATGTAGTGTTTAGTGTCGGCATTTCTCTTCTCAAATGAAACTAGTGCACCTTAAGACGGAGTGAGTATTTCATCAACATTAAAAACCACTCGTTACATCCCTGTTTTTGCTAACACCGAATAGACATTACCTTTTTTTTTCATCATAATCCTGAAAATGGTAGATACTGATACCTTTGTATATCGCTACTCTGGAAATCATGTTCGGAGTGCGTCATAATATTTTTCACTATATGACTTTGTCCAGAACATAAATTATGCGTTTATGGGGTAGACTATCCATTGCGTGGTGATCCATCTTTTGTAGTCCGTGAATTTTCAACAGTTCCGCGTCTTGGGGTGCCACATATTTTAAAATTTGTACTATTGTTTGAACTTCACATCCAGCGATAGGAAGCCATAAAACGATAATATCAGCAATGCTTCTTTTTAAATCACACTGTTGCTATTATTGTGCGCGTCTAATGACAGTACCGCGCTAAAGCCTGACTTTTTATAGATATTGCTTGGAAAATACGTCTAGTCATAAAGCAGCTTCAACGCTGTACTGTCGCTAGACGCACACATTATTATTATTTCATTATCTATGCCAATTAATTTTGATAGTTGTAGTCGATTGCTATGTTGGGTATTTCTATAATCCTCGCACACATTTGCCTATCAACTTATACCAACAAAAGTCGTTTACCAAAAATTGTATATAGCACCTAACTTACTTCACTTCATATCAAGTCTAATCATATTAGCAAATGTCCCCGAAATAATTGTAAGTCTGGTTTTATTAACCCACCTCCAGTCACGCAGTTAGAGAAAATCTAACAAATTTTATCTCACTATACACTTTGTTTCAATTTTTGCACAATTTGTATATGGCTCCTACTGGCCGTAAAGCATCATCTACCCGAGTATCGTTTGGTGTGGGTAAACGAATTTCCTATAATTTGAATTGTTAGAATTAATCTAACATGCGACCGATCACGTTGTTTCGTTTTAGCTCCGCTATTAGAAAAATCTATCGACGCGACTGATAGCATTAGTGAAATTTGTGTAATATCTCGGTAAGTTGTTTTTACATAATGTCTATAACTAAGTTAGTTCTTATATAACGTTAAAAATATGGTTTTAGAACTCTTAATTTTCAGTTTTGTGGCAATCTTAACATTGTAACATCTTTGCACTTGCGAAAAAGAATCATATTCAAAATTCGACTTGTATTTTGAGTATTATTACAAATTTTTTTATTCCAGAATAGAAGTGGCTAAAATGGTATGAGAATATTGAAAAAATTGAAAGCACGCCACAGTTATTAACCTAAAAAAAGTAGCATTGAAGTAACGGTTTATACGAGAGTCATTTTTAAATAAGAACCGTTTTGTAATCCAGTCAGAGAAATTTTATTTATGAATGTAAATTGTATCACAAACTAAAATCTGAATCTTTTTTCAACATAGCTACCATAAACATTCAAACACAAGTCAAGTCGTGGCACCAATCTTTGTGTTAATGTAACATCTGAAACTTATCCTGTGGTTTTCATGGCGACGACTATTTCTCTTTTCTTAATTTCTACCAACCACAAACGCGCAATTTTGATTTCTCTAGACGTCTCTGACCTGTTAGCATTTTTTTCCAGTTTACCCGCAGCAAAACTTGACAGCTGCTGTCACCAACAATTATGTATTTAGGTGAATGATCTTGAAGTGCGCGTTTCTGGAAGAAGGCTCCTCAACATAGCAAATTAGGTAAATAACTTTACATCTTTGACATCACTACCATCATATAGATACATACGAGTATGTATATTTCGGTTAATAGTATGAATTTTTAACTAATGTCTAGATAATTAATTACAGTAGCAATCGACGTTACTTCAACAACTTGATTCAGTCATCTCTCATCTCAACCAGACTTGCAAGAGAAAATGTTTGAAGATTTTCACATCCGTCTCTGTCATGCCTCCGGTTCTCTGTTTTATAGCCGTTTTATGACTATCGGCAAAAAATGTAAACGAATACAATATCGTTGTCGTATAGTTGGTAGTAGACCTAATTTCCACTTTGAATACACTTGACACCCACGCCACAGCACTAAAGCACCACTAAGACACAGTCGAGAACCCTAAAGTGAACACCACTAATAAAAAAAGTAGCTAAACCGAATCGGCACGGAGCTGTGATCGCGTAGACACTCCGCACTGCCGGCGCCGACAGTTGCCAAGAGACTGACGCGTGTGAGTGCTGTACCTCGCTGCGGCGTTACGGTACGGCCGGGTAGTACAGCCACGCCCCTTTCCAGCTCCTACTCCGCGCGTCTGCTCCCGGTGAACGTAAACATCGAGTCGCTTCGTGATACTGTCAGATAAGAAAACGAAGACGCGCGGAGTGAGAGCTGCAAAGGGGCGTGGCTGTAGTACCCGGCCGTTCTGTATCGCGTATCGCCGCAGCACTCACACGCTCAGACTGTCGGCAACCGTCGGCGCAGCGGAATGTGCACGCGTTCACAGCTCCGTGATTCGTTTTCAAACCTGGAATCTCAGCTCCGTGTTTAGGAAACTAAAATGTCTTACCTCGGTTGTTGGAGGATATGTGGGCACCAAATGTCCAACAAGAGTAGGGATGTGATGCGTCTGCCTGTAATTCCACATGATCGACAAGTTATCAAGCTGTAAATTTTTAGCTTCCTCAAAATCAATGCCTATCTCTGCGTATAAGACGGATACTAATAAATAGAAGAGTAAAATGAAACTCGTACTTGTGGTATTAATAATGATGTAATTTTAGATCAAATAGTTAATAAACATATTTATATAATAAACCATTGTTTTTTTCAATTGCTGGAAGAAATCCGTATTCAAAAAGTATTTTATCCTATAAAACTGGACATTTAAAAAGTTCAGAGACCTTAACGTTCCGCCGCATAGACGCCATGCGACTTAAAATGTAAATAAGAGCTTTGTTTAGTTTTTGGCAAACATTGCTACGCCTCAAATTTTATATATGTCGATTGGTATTCCTAAATATTCTATTCAAAACTTATTTTTTTTATAATATTCTATCAAAATAGCAGAGGTAGCAAGAATGATAAGGTAAACTGCCAACACGTATGACTATCCCGAGGTAACGACAGAGTCATTTAGAACAACAAAGCGGCAATTTTCATTTTTTTACGTGTTGTGCAACGATTTCGGCAAAATCTCGCTACGGATTCTAGAGTCTAGAATACATTTCAACAGTTGTCTTGCGTGGCCATGTTATCTTTACTCGGACCGATTCTATATCTTTATCTGAATTTCTGATTGCAAAAATATCAAATATGGCGTTTTTAATATCGATAGTTCCTCCAGATCTCCAGGAAGTAGGCGGCGCAACGGTGTTGCCATTGTTTAACGTGCAGCTCCCACTTCTTCAGTCTTGTGTTTTGTACTGCGCTTGTACTCGTAGGAAAGCATCGTGCTGCTTCGAAATGGCTTTCAGCTGCAGTGATAATTTGTATTGCGCAACGTTATTTGTAACAATAACTCAGGATGTATTACCAGCGCAGGAAATCAAAGATACTTCTAAAAGAAATCAAAACACCAGGTTGCATCAAAATCGAAATAATTCTAATCATAATGAAAACAAAATATTAAATAAAATGGTCGAACAGACCTTCTAGGTGATAACCTTCGCTCTTCAGCCGGCTTCTATCTCTTCTAACATGTGTTGACACACGCTTCTTTCTCGTACAAATTAAACTCAAGCCTTCACACAAATTTGGTTTTCCTGTACAGGCTCCATGAAAAAGTGGTGATGAGTCGTCAAGTAAAAATGACAATGATTCAAGAACTTACCTCTTAGAAATATGTTCATAGATTATCCGAATTTAACCGTCCACAAAAGAAGAGTTAAAAGAGCGGAATTGTATGCCTTGAAGCTGAATGAATCTGTTTTAACTATTCTTTTTTTTGTTTAAAAGGTGACTTTAACGCTTTTTTGTAGCTATGACATAAAACCATTATTAGACATTTGAAGGAGTTTTCAAAAAAATTAAAGAGTAATTTTACTATATAACCTTTAATGACTGTAAAGATACACAAGCTATTTCCAGATACAAAACATTGTTCCAGAGAACAATACACAACTTAAAAAATATATAACTAATACCGTCATTTAAAAAATAACCTAAAATTTAACGATCGAACAGGCTGATAAAAATGAGTTTTTTTAACAGCATGCATAAATATAAATTAACAGGAGAAGTCTAAGATCTCATAATGGAAAATTATTTAAAACCAAGAGAATGTTCTGGAAATAGTGCCCCCAGAAATAAGAGTCCCAGGGATATGTATTAGACTGTATTATAAAATACAGAGAATTTTCATATATGTAAGATCGATTTCCTTCCTCTACAATTCGATTCGCGATTGCATCCATTTTTAAATGG